TGAAAGAGTCATTTTTAAAATTTTAAAATGAAGTCGTTGCAATTTGTTAGTACGTATTTTATTGTATATAGTTCTTGGCATGCCGTACAAATTGGAGGTGGCTCTTGTTTTAGTATACATTATCATGGAGTATCCGATATGAAGTCTGGATATTATTACTTCATATTTTCTTGTTTTAATGTTTGATGCAATTCTTCTATAGTAGGCCTGACGTTGTATAATTTGTTGTTTGGGTAGCTGGGCCATAGTTTCTGCTATATTCTTTGACAAATGTGTTAATGGTTGATTTGAGGTCTGTGTAGGTGATCTTGGCGTTTGAACTATTTTTGGGGGATTGATACTTTTTTTGGTGTCGAATCGTTGCTCTTGATGCAGATATGCCTAAGTATCCAACAGAAGATAGAATTATATCTTGACAAATATTCTATTCTGTTAATTAGTGGGTTTATCATTTTCCACTACTGTAAGTACTGACATGGAGTCTGAATATATGATACATTTTTTGTTTGCTTGCAGTTAGCTAGGATATGGCAGCAGAAAACCCACTAATGTGTCCTTAACACTCGACACAGGACCTCACTTGGGCTTGCGACGTCGCTAATTTGATCTTAGAGGACAGGCAACAAGTAGCGAAATCTGTCGTGTCACGGTTTGGGTGTGGCGTAGACCACATGAAGCTATGTATGACAACTAGTAGTAATTCCATAATGGTGTGGTTTGTGTTCACGTGGCCCGGATTAGGCCTACATCTTATTCTATCTGCCGTATCTCTTCAGGATGCGATCGCGTCTCTCCACATCTTCCTATCCCCTTACTATCTTTCTCACTTACTATCTTTATGCCATCCATTCACACTAGCGTGTTAGATAGGTTTCTCGCTATTTCTCTTCCCTCCTTGTCATTATTTTATGGTAATTTACCTACGCACGCATGGACTCTCCCAGTTATAAATAGGAGCAGGTACTGCCTTTTAGAGAGGGAAGTTTCCAGTAGTCAGCTCTGACAGTAGGACCGAATATTCTTGTTGTAACACTCTTGTTTGTATATGTTTGTATTACTGTTTCTGTGAAAATTTTTCCGGTTTAACCAGTAGAGAAGACAATATTTATGAATAAAAATGATAATAGGAAAACTAGTTGCTAGGAACATTCTGTTTTTGTTTTTTATTAGTCACCTTGTTCAATTAAATTCATTTCGTATTTTGCTTTGATAAAGTCCACATTGGACGAAACGCGTCATCAATTACTAGTTTTCCTATTGTCATTTTTATTCATAAATTACTGTTTCTGTTAATATATTTGTTTAACTCAATTCCACGCTTGTGTCTTTATTTCTGGACCTAACAAGGCCACAACACATTACGCCCTGTGAGTATCAAATTCTCCAACCCTTCTTTCCTAATTATGTAGCGCAGGTATTTCAGCTCACTTTCTGAACCTAAGCTAAAAGACTCTTTTTGTTCACATTTTCTTAAAAAATCTCATTGTTATTCACATATTCAATCGAGTTCAAGTGTCCTTTTTGTTTCCATTTTCCTTGGGACTTTTTTTCTTACTAACGCTTTCCCTTCATGGTGTGCTTAGCATCCTTCTGTAGAATAGCATCTCTGCTGCTTCAAGTCTTTTCTTAGGTCAGGAAATTGTCCAGCATTCATATAGGAAGATTAACGCTACATAGGAACTCAGCAATCTCTTTGTTTCTAAAGCATTTTTCCTATCTTTTAATACCTCTAGGAAAATATCTTTTTCTAATACGCTATCGGCTTTCTGTGACACATTTTCCGTTGACTATTAAAAGAATTCCCAGATAGTTAAATTTCTGTACATGTTTTATTTTGACATCCCCGATACGTAGCTTGTATCTAGGGCTGTCCCTTTTGCTAACGACGTTATTGATTCTGTCAATTGATGATTAGTCCTTTCTTCCTAATTTTGCTTATGGTCACACCAGGTTGAAACACCGGTTCACGTAAAATCTCAACGTCGAAATGGGTGATCGCTTGGGAATAGCAGGTGCTTAAAGCACCTAGGAAAGGTATGACACCACTTCTCCTCCCAGCTATGGGTTAATTAGTAAGATTTGTATCACTAAACCATTAAAATAGGAGATCAGTTTTCTGTTGTTATTAAGTAATAAAATGACCTTGTAAAAAACCCCGACATAATTGATATTATAATTGGTAAAATCTATTTAAAAACTCACATTCTGTATTATATACAATAATAATAATAAACAATTAAAAATTGTCTGGGAATACCAGTTAGTATAAGCTTGGATGTGAGGATGGTGTAATGAATAATGGCTTGGAATTGGAAATCGGGGATCCCACGTTCAATTTCAGTCGGGTTTCTTTATATTCACTTGCGCACAAACACCCTTAGGAAAAGGTATGAATCCGCCTTTTCTCCTCCAATCTATGGGTTAAATAGTAAAACTTGTATCTCCAAACCATTATTCCATAGAAAAAAAAATTCTTACAATCTAAAGATATTTTCTGTCTTTAAATAACCCGAAAAAGGATGATGAGCAGTAGAAAATGAATGAATAAATCTATTTCGTCCTGATTTCATTTACTAACAGTTTTCTTTCTGCATCGACACGTTAAGATTGTGCCCACTAATAATAAATCCCGATAGGACTTCTAGTTCACTTGGGAATACCTCGCTGTAGAGGTTAAATAAATCCGGTAAGATGATGCACCCTTGTCTTACACTTTTTTTTTTTTAAATATGCATTCTTTTAATCGTTTCACCCCAAGCAAGGCGACAATGTTACTAGAGAGTGAAAGTGAAAGAGAATGAGAAGACTGAAAATGGGGAGGATTGAGGAAAGGATAAAAAAAGGAACAGGGTTCAAAATGATAGAAGATGACGATTGACATTGCATTTAAATTTTTGAAGATTGTAGTTATCGGGGAAATAAGAAATCGGAAAAGGAGTTCCACAGGCGGGAAGTGCGAGAAAAAAACTATTAAAGCAGAAGTGGCGGTTGCGTATAGCTAGTTTAACAGTAAAACGGTGGGACCTAGTTGCCAATCAAGTAGCGCGCTTAAATTTATGTATTCTGGGCACCGGGAAAATAAAAGCTCGACAGAGAAGTGGTAATATTTGTAGAACAGAAAAAGAAAGCCGCGTCGAGTTGATGAGAACGTGACTGAAGACGAGATGCCTGGTGAGGATCTATTATATTGCAAACCCTTATCTGGATTTTGTCAAGAATCTCGATATGCACAGCCCAGATATGGCAATACACTCACTTCATTTTATCTTCGTATGAAGGTGGTCTGATCCCAGTAAACAGTGCAATCTCTTCCCAAAACAAATCCAGTTTTTTGTGCAGTTATTCCGCTTAAACGTGTCGTTGGGTATTAAACCAGAGGAGAGTTCAACAAAAGAGAATTGCAAGAGAAGAAACTGTTAGCATAGGACTTACGGTTACTTCTTCATTTTTGATGAGATTGTCCAGCATTCACTGCCATATACGGGGAATGATATTGCGTAACAGCTCAGTACTTTTTTCTTTCTTTCTTTCTAACGAAATTCTCTTGTTTCTTAATACTTTGCTTATCTTTTGGAAGACGCCTTTCTTTATCGCAATATGCCTTTTCCATGTTTCTAACGAAATTCTCCTGTTTCTTAATACTTTGATTAGCTTCTGGAAGGTAACTTTCGCTATCCCAACGTGCCTTTTCCTTTGTTTCTAACGAAATATTTCTGTTTCTTAATACTTTGTTTAACTTTTGAAAGGCATCTTTCGCTATGCCAGTGTGCCTTTTCTTTGCTTCTAACGATTTTTTCTGTAAAGTATTAAGAAATTAATGAATCCTTTCTGCAAAGTAATAAGAAATTAATACTTTGCTTAGCTTTTGGAAGGCATCTTTCGTTATTGCAATGCGCCTACAGATTTCGGTGTCATGCTTTCCATCGACTGTTAAAACACTTCTCAGATAATTAACGAAATGTTTAATTGGTTTTAACGTTTCATATTTCGTATGTATTTTTTTTATAAGTAAGCGCATGCGCGTGTATCTCTGTGCGTGTGTGTATTTGTACATAATGCATGGGTGTCTGTCTATCCAAGCGAGTTTCCAATGGAACGTTAATTTTAATAGAGTCTTCCGGAAACTTTAAGCATGTAACTTTTTAATAATAATAATTCTCGTGCAATCAGTGAAAACAGGAATTACGCATACCATAGGTAGGTAGGTAGGTAGGTTGTTTGTTACAAACAAACTTAAAAAAAATTAAAGGAAATAACTTGACCTAGATCTATAATATACATGTGACTTAAACGTGGGATAGTCGACTGAAGTTTTAGTCATGGCTCGCACAGGCGCATGCCCCACCGCCACACAGATTTTCAACACACACATACATACAGACACATACACACACGCGCGCGCGCATACACACACACACGCGCGTGCGCACGCGCAAACACGCGCGCACAAGCATGCGCAAACACATTCACAAAGAAACACGCTCGAACGCACACATAGCAACATGCACTTTTTCATACACGCACAGACACACACCCACGCTCACGAACATGCACTTATACGCACATACACTCATACACTAGTACTCACGAACACATGCGGGCGCATATACATACACAAATATACATAGATATATTCACTCGTATGAACGGACACTTTCACACACACACACACACACACACACACACACACACACACACACACACACACACACACACACACACACTCATGCAGTCGCATGCGCACACACAGACACAAAGACGTACACACAAACACTTACACACGTATACACACACACACAAAAAGGAGAGGAAAGACTGGTGTGAGATGTGACAGAGTTGGCGGGTGTGGAAGATACACGGAAAAGACCAACAGGAAACATTCACCTGAAAAAAATATCTACCGGAAAATGGGCCGGTCGAAATTCTTTTGCGTTTGGCGGGAGGGAGCAGTCTATGTGAAAAGAGTTAATAAAAAGGGAGACTTCACACTAAAACTCTGATTAAAAAAAAGCAACGTTGACGTGCATATTTGGCAGTTCGTTAAAATATGCGTGAGTCTTCACACACGGATACACAAAAGAGAGAGTAGGAGAGGAAAGAGAGAGAGAGAGGTAGGGAGAGAAAGAAAAAGGGAGGGAGAAAGAGAAAGAAAGAGTAAGAAAGAGATAAAATGTGTGAAGAGATAAATAGGGAAAGAAAGAATGAGAGAGAGAAAGTAAAAGAGTAGCGGATGAGATAAAGAGTGTGAGAGATTTAGAATGGGGAAAAGAAAGTGACAGAAAACGACAGAGAGAGGAAGAAAGAGAGATAGAGAGAGAAGACACAATAGAAAGAAAGGGAGATAGAGAAATGGGATGGGAGAGATTGAATGAGAAATATATGCGATAGAAAAGAGCGAATGAAAGAGAGAAAGAAAGAGATAGAGTGAAGGAGTATGAGAGAGGGAGAATGGAGAAAAAAAAGAAGAGGCGGAAAAAGACAAAGAGAGAGAAAAGAAAGAGAGAGATAGAGTGAGAGAATAAGAGAGAGGAAGAGTGTATGCATGTAAGAGAAAGAAAGAAAGAGAGAGAGAGAGAGAGAGAGAAAGGAAAATGAACAGGAGAGTAAAAGAAATAAAGAGACAGAGAGATTGCTTCTCCCATTCGCTTGAATCTACGTGAATCCTTCTAAGACTCGGCATAATAGAGTTGACCAATATCCATACTAGAAAATCTGAAAATTTTACAGGAAGAAAACTGCAAGAAACTGGTATAAGCACCATCCAGACCCGGTCTCAGAGATAGGACCTGTAGCAATTATATGGGATTTTACAATACACACACAACAATCAAAGCTAATCCCAGACATCGTAATAAGTCAGATAGTTATGCGTCATGCGTGATACACGCTAACTAGGCATATTTTTATTCCCGCAGCAGGTTGCAATTTCTTTCTGCGGTAGACCAGTTGCCATCCAAGGCTATAGAACCCGATCTATTCAATTTACTCATAGTTGGGAGGAGAAGAAGAGGATTCATACCTTTCCCAATAGTCAGTCAGTCAGTTATGTGCCATGCATGATACACGCTTAGGTGATCATGTATCTTTCGATTCATGACTGACGAGGCAGATTTTTCCCCGCAGTAGGTTGCCATTTCTTTCTGCAGTAGACCAGTTGCCATCCAATGCTGTAGAACCCGATCTATCCATGCCATGCATGATACACGCTTAGGCGATCATGAATCTTTCGATACATGACTAACTAGGCAGATTTTTATTCCCGTAGTAGGTTGCCATTTCTTTCTGTGGTAGACCACTCGCCATAGCTGGGAGAAGAAGAAGAGGATTCATACCTTTCCCAAGGGTAGTGGCACGTTATTGAATTTCAGTCAGTTATGTACCATGCATGGCACAAGCATAGGCGATCATGTATCTTTCGATACATGACTAACTAGGCAGATTTTTATTCCCGCAGTAGGTTGCCATTTCTTTCTGTGGTAGACCACTCGCCATCCAAAGCTGTAGAACCCGATCTATCCTATTTACCCATAGCTGGTGGGGGAAGAGGAGGATTCATACCTTTCCCACGTAAATGGATGTAATGGATTCGACTGGAATTCGAACTCGGTTCTCTGATTTCTCAATCCGAGCCACTATCCATTACTCCACCGAAAGAACAGAATGTGCTTTCTTATTGACATGGCAGTCCCTGTTGAATATTTAACGTGTTTGTGTAAACAGATGGTAGGACGGTGAGTTGAGGATAATATAAAAACAAACATTGGTAAGAGTTACGAAGGATAGGAAGTAGTGGAGAACCATGATCGCCCACATCTTGAAAGCGCAGAGGAAAACTGCGAATAAAATATTTATAATGTACGTGTGTCTTATTGACATGGCAGTCCCTGCAGATTGTAATGTATCTTTGATGATCCTCAAAAAACTATCAAAATACAAGGATGTGGAACATAAGGATATCAATAATTTCCGTTGGAGTTGGAGCCCTCGGATTGATTGAAAAAGATGTCGTTAGACTCATTGAAGGGATTCCTGGTAGCTTTAAAGAGCTTTGCGGATAATATCAAGAGGAATTTCATTCCAAGCTTCAGTTAAGTTCCACTTCGATGAATCAATATCGACGATGTCACGACGACGGTTTTGCAAGTGAGTTAAAACTATACTCCAGATCTTATCCGGCAAATTGCTCGAAATCAATTGCTAGACAGTAAATTGCTCGAAAAATAATTTCTCGAACTGTCAATTGCCCGAAAGGCAGATTGCTCGAAGTAATTTCGAAGCTCGAAGCCCCACGTACACTGCGCCGTCTCACGACACGTCAACGGAGCTGGATATAAAAGAAGCCACGACACTCACTTTAGCAGTCAGTTTTCTAAGACTTTCTCTCTTGTCTAGCTCAACACACGATGGCAAGGCTACTCTCTGTACATGTGGTTCTCCCTTTCTTCCTATAGCAACCATATCTATTGTCATTATTGATGGACTAAAGAGAGAACTTTACAA